AGATTAATTCAAAAAACCACATGCAGACGAGCTACAACAGTAGGAGACAACACCTCCTGTCAGCTATGAACAAGATACTGAGGCAACACTTAAAACAAGCTCACCGAAACTGGACAACAGAAGACTGATAAACGTTGTCTGGTCTGATGACTCTTGATTTCTGTCTGGCTGCTGGTTTAATGCTGTAGGGGATATTAGTGTGCATCACTCTATGACAAAAGGAGGATAACGCACTATGTGACAAAACTCAAATAATCTAAAAGTGGATGCCTGAGCATGACAGTGAGGTTTGCTTTACTCAAATGACCTCCACAGTCACCAGATCTCAGTCCAATAGAGCACCGTTGAGATGTGGTGGAACAGGAGAGAGTTCATCCCAAATAAAGTGTCCAGCAAGTGTACAAAGGAGTTTTTACACAGGATGCTGGGATCGCTGTGGGAGTTGAGAAAGTGGGCACACAGGATTTGTTTTCTGTACCTTCATCATTACCTCAAGAACTGTAATAAGTCTGATGAGCTACTCGTAGGTTACTTATAACAAATCTGAGATGATTACACATGTTGCTGACCTTTAGTGTTCAAACACACGCCTTACATATATACTTACACAGAAACGTGTTTCCAAGAAACAGCTTTGCTCCACCCGTCTCAATATATACTCATGTTGAATAAATCATTCAGTTCAGGCGTGTGATGTTGACTTTTCTCTCATTTTGCCACCCGTCTCTACAGGGTGTCTGTTCCTACTGGCTGCCGGGTGGCAAGACTTTCTCCAAGAAGGACTTTTGGTTTTGAAGAGACACGTTAAAACATGTAGATGAGCTTTTAGAGGGAACGGTAGGGCTGTCGCATTATGTCCAACTATTCACATTTCTATAAGACCGTCGCTCTGTCCTTTACTTCACCTTGCTCCCTTATTGCGACCTAGTTAAAAAATAATAATCACATGTTAAGCAGGTTTCCATTAAAGTTTAGTGGACTGTAAAACAAGTGCATAAAATGCCACTGCAGCTACTACCCATCATTTAGATTTCATATTAAATGATCCCGAATACTTCACATCACACCATAACCATTTTTAAGCAATCATTATTAGACAACCTGTACTCACAAATTTATTTTAGATACTTTTTCAGTTAGAAAAAATGTTTATTTTAAAATTTAAGGGATAAATTTCACTATTTAATGATTAAATCAATCAGTATAGATCTCCACACTGAAGATGAAAAACGGGCAGTAAACATGCTGACAAATGACACGGTGAGGTTACACGGTGGTGGGAAACTCAGTCATCCTTTACCAGTCTGGGAGTGAGTGTGCCCACTTTTCTTTGTTTGGTGGTTGCTGGGTGGGCATCCCCTGTTCATTCATTACCTGAAGGCCTGCAGCAATTCTGCGTGGGATGTGAAGCGCAACAACAGCGCATTCCTATACTCAGAAACAGGGAGTGGGAGTTGACAGAGGTTTATTTCAATGAGCTTTGAGTTTGTTTAACCTCCTCGCTATTCTTCTAGATCCAACACCTTGACAAGAAGAAAAAGAAAAATCAGACAACTTGACCCAGCACAGTTTATGGCGGCAATCGCGCATAACAGTCGACTTAGAACGACCAAAGCTGCTTCGGAGCGGTTCAAGTGAAAGCTGAAGTAGGGAGGTCTACATGCAAAACAGGGGTTCGGTTACAAGATAAAAGTAAAAAGTGATGGTGACAGAAGGATATACAGTCTACTGAGCATGACTCATTACTCATTACTTAGCTGACCACATCCAAAGATTTCTGGAGGGCAGAGAGAAGAGAAAAGGATGTTTTGCTAAGATGATCTGAGCCTGACGTACCTGCTCTCCAGTCAAACCTGGAGAAGGATCTGGAAGTGCTGGCCATTCAAACGAACATGGCACTTCACCTCCAGCTGTGCGCTTTAAAGGAATAGCTCAACACATACCGGAAATAAAAGCCAGTGTGTGCTTTGATTCTGACGGTAAAATGAGAAGATCAAAGCCAGCGCTCAAGTCTGTACAGTAATTGTGACGCGACAGCCATTAAACTGTTAGCTTAGCTTAGCTTTAAGAACAAAAGCAAAAGGAAAGTAGTGGTAATCATTTCCTTTTCAAAATGAAAGGTTTAAATAAACATAACACATGGTGATTAATTTTATGTTAAGCTTCAGTTGTTCAGTTTGTTATGAACTATTAAAGGGGAATTCCCCCTCGGTTTTTCCCATTTTAATCCTACTAAAAGATTTCTTTTTGTTTTTTGGGGAGGAAGTTCCTTTATTCAAGCGAGTTAATATACTACAGACATTGTAATGTGCTAATTTTGGGCAATAAATATAAAACTGTGCAACAGTCTGAATCCTTTATTTTGTAAAATATTTTTACTCCAAGGATTTAAATTACAAAAAAGTACTCTTTCTTAAGGTCTTTTAAAGGTTTTTGTTTTTTGGGTTTTTTTTAACATTTGCTGCCTTTTCACCCATTTTCAGTCCAGTCCTTGTACCTGACCATTTTCAGAGGAATGCTTTTTTTGTTGTTGTGAAGCCACTTATATCTGACCTATGACTCATTGAAGCATTAAAAAGCCATAAAACTCAAGTAATGAATCATTGTTCTTTCTGTGCATAACTTAGCAAAGAGACAGTTTTTTCCCCCTATCTTTAGGAACTTTGTTACTAGCCGCCTGTCAGAGAACACACTGCTTCTTTACTTGAATCTAATACCAAACAAACAGCAGTTTGACAAACATAAAATAGTATTTTTGACAAACACGGTAATTCCTAAAGAGATAGCAGAAAATGGGCCATGTTGCTTAGTCTGTCCTTAAAGTTGAGGAAACTAGACAAGTGGAGAACAAAGGAATAGGTAGCACAACTAAAGAACATATCTACAGCAGATTAACAGCATGTGCAAGTCTTATCCTTAAGAAACAGAAAAAAATCCAGCAAAAACCTGAGAGATGCATCTGGCCCTTCATTTGATCCATCACGGGGAGAACATGCAAACTCTGCACAGAAAGATCCCCACCTGATGGTGGGATTGAACTCAGGACCTTCTTGCTGTGAGGCTAACCACCATGCCACTGTACTGATCCATCTACTGTTTGCTAAAAACTCATCATAAATGGTCTCAGTGGTAGGGTGGCTGTCAGGATGCCATTCCTAAGGGTAAGAAATGTGGGAGAAGACTGAGTTATGCCAAATTCTAACAGGTCTTACTGAGTAACTAACTCCAATCTGAAAATGTATCTATAACCATCTGTAAAGCATGGTGGAGGGGAAGTCATGGTTTGGGGCTGTGGTGTTGGAGATCTCGTAATCGATTGGCTTATGAACACAGAAGCATATCATCAGATTTTGATCCACCATTTCACCATCCACCACCAGTTGGCAGTGGTTTCACTGTTCAGCATGACAGTGATCCCAAACACACTGGCAGTTACAAGGATAAAACACAGACAGGAGCTCTATCAATCATCTGGGCCTCCCCAGATCCCAGACCTCAACATTACTGAAGCAATGTGGGATCGACTTGAGAACAAAAGGCAGAAAAATCCAAAGAAGAGCTTTGAATGTCCTTCAAGAATGAGAAGAAAAGCCTAAGAGAGTTCAGGCTGTGCTGAAGAATGTGTATGTTTGCACGTTTCAATAAGCTGCTGTACCAATTTGTCATTTTCCTAGTAGCATATTTTAAAGATTGAGGTATCTCGAGACTTTTGCACAGTACAGGACTCTTATCTTACCAACGTCTAGGTGCTTCCCATTCAGATGTTTAAAGTCTGTCCTACTTCTCTTAATCATGTTATTGATGACAGTACTTTTCCCTTGAGTTTTTTTTGTAGCGTTCAAAATGATTGTCTTGTAGCGTAAGACAATCACACAGACTGAAAACACATTTAGCCAGATAATTATCGCTCCACTTAAGAGGCTGAAACTGAAAGTGAGAGTGGTTGTAATGTTTAATAATCGCTTGCAGCGTGAAATCTAAACATGGCTTCGACAATTGGTGCTCGGTAAACTCTATGTTCTTTAAACTGGAAAAAAATGTTCAAATAGACTTTGAGTCACAGTTTTACCATCGCTATCAAACTGGTTTAAAAGAAACCTTCAGAATTTCATAAATGTGGTGTCGTGTGGATTCAAGAGGCAAAGCTATCATGGATCATCTGTGGTGTACCGAGTCAGACACATTCTTTGCTGCTACTCTGTAAGCACAGACCAAGCATGTAGCTTGCAAAATATTTTTTTAAAAAGGAAAAGAAATAGGCATTTGTATGGTACAGTGGCAACAATCTGCAACATTTATCGCGTTTTCCTGAAGCACCGTTCATGCTTCGTACTTTTAATAGGAATGACCACCCCTGACTTAAAAGCAGCCATAGAGGAGAAGCAGCACCATTTGGTGTCATTTTTGGGGTTTACTCCATCAGAGATGATGAGCATTTGCTCTTTTTATACTATACTACTATCAGGAGATGCGTTATCTATTAGGTGCCAAGTCTTTAACACAGGAACTGTTTCTGGCCAGGTCTGTGTGTATCGTTTAGGATTTTGTAGTAAGTGCTGTTACAGTGCCCGGTGTCCATTGTGTGTAAATGACCCTCATGGTGAAGTTCAGAGAGTTCATGTACAGATTAAGTACTTTCACTCTCTGCAGCTGTAAACAGAGGGCAGTGATGCAGAACACCCAGGACGGGCATCAATGTAATGAGCGCACTCAACTCGCTTTTATGGACTCTGCCTTCATAAACGCTGAGAAATGTATTCAGACAAAGTGTGCAGCTTTTTCCTACCATTCAACAGTGTGAAGTGCCAGAAAACACTTGGAAAACACACATTTGTGATTTTAGAAATGATTGCATGGCAGATTCCCTTTCACCTCAGAATGGTTGGATTTCATTAACAGTTCAAAACAAATCCACTATGCATTCAGACTAAAAAGAACCTGTAGAGTTGTGAGTCTTCTCTCTTTCGTTTTTCAAAAGCAGGAAACTCTCACACCCCATTCAATTCAACTTTTTATTAAAGACATTCTTTTAACAAATATCAATCAGTATTTTTATGCAGTGCTTGATGCAGAAAACGGCTCTTCTGACATTCCTCACATATCAGGTGACGACTCAAACATCCATGTGACCCCCTTGTTAGGGTGACTAAAAGACCCCTCAATATGTGCTTCGAATTGATCAGCACTGTCCCTTTAAGCAGGCCAGCATGACAGTTGTAAAACTAGGTACTTCCCAGCCACAATGTAGAGCACTACAGGGGCCCAGTCAGGGTGTATCCGTGTCCTCTCAAACAAAAAAAAAGAAAAAAAAGGGGGAAGTAGATACTACTGAAAACCTTGCAGTATGTTGTGTGTGTTTGCTCCAGTAAGATGCTGTGAAACTGAATCCAGCACGGTCTGCTTCCACCTTTGCATCCTTCCTAGTCAGATCATGTGTCGGTGCAGAAGCTGCAGAAAGATCTGGCCGGCATGGGGGGTCTGCAACACCACCATCACAGCAGCAGCAGAAGCCTGCAAAACACAGGGCAGACAGGAGCGAGTCAGAGTCCCGATGTGACTGTTTGTGGACAAACCTTAGTTTCATAATGCAAGTTATCAAAAAAAAAACTTTCAGCTCTGTAAATGAGCTGTCCTTTCATTATGACTCGGGAGTCAGTGCAAAATTTGCTGTGAAATTCAGATGAGAGCGGGGAAAGTTTAACACTCACACATTTACCCAAAGCTCAGTTTATCTATCAAACAGTACACAAGATTAAGATCGAAGCTTTAAGGTTTCCAGTTAGCACAAGTAAATGATCTAAATAAAGTTAGGCTCTACTCTTCTTTTTGGGAACTATTAAAGCTGCATTGAGCTCAAAGGTGGGGTCACAAAACTGCCAGAATTTGAAAATAAATAGCCTCCTTTTGCAGGTGTCACCTCTTTGTTTTGAGTGGGTTCTTCACACAGGTTAAAAATACATCAGTTCTGACTTCTGGTGAACCCAAATCACCCTGATATGCTTCCTGCAATTAACCTGTCGCACCGCCACATCTTACATTTTATGTCCACAGTGTCCCCACATGAGTTTGACCCTCCAAAGCCTGGATCTAGCTCATTACACTGTAATGCATTACATACAGGATTGCAGTGTGCTGACAGATTGCTGATGTTTCTGTCCAGACGAGCCAAAACCCACATTAATCAAATCGTACCTGCAATAAAAATGCATAGAAGCAAGTAAGCAGAGATAATCGGCCAATCAAATGACTCAATTATGTCAGGTGACATCAATTAAACAGCGCCAAACTTGAGTTTAGCTTCAATCCCAGACATAAGGAAGTTTCAGTGGCTGAATGTAATCAGTTGTTGTTAAATCTAAGCCCTTTAAAATTAAAAACAAGTTAAAAGTAATATAGATCTATGACATGCAGGACTTGGGTCTCTAGTGTGACCTGCTACACCACCGTGGATATGAATCAGTACAGACGAGAGATAAAAACTAATTTGTGTTCAAGGACATGCAAATAGGGTGGGAAATTCACGTCTTGACACTCAAATCAGTAGATCAGAGGCTGTGACTACTTCACAAACTACCTTGGGACTGTGTTGAAATGATTGTATAATGCTCTTGAATCATAATTTAACCAATACACTGAGGTCTGCTTTTTATTGGCCGGTTATTATGAACATCAAGCTCAAACTAATCCAGTCTAAACAATTTCAAGCCCCTAAACACAGCATTTTCTATACGTTCTGGCCTTTACTTCACATGTAAGGGCATGGAAAATGGAGCTTTTTTAAAAATTCCTGCATTCACAGTGGGTCTTGCAATGTCAACGGTACACTACTTTATCGCCTTTTTGACGTCAGACTGTCCTCTGTGTAATTGTTTGATTTCTTCTGATTGGCCAGCGTCTTAAAATGGTTAAGGTTGCACGTTGCTTTGGCATCAGATACATTAGTACAGTACAGTCAACGGCGGTTATGGACCACAACCACTCGTGAATACTTGACATCCTCTCTAAAAACGCGCAGAACCCAGTGGCGCCAGTGTCCAGCAGCCTCGCCTCTGTCAGTGCGCCCCAGGGCGGCTGTGGCTACAATGTAGCTTGCCATCACCAGTGTGTGAATGTGTGTGTGAATGGGTGGATGATTGTGTATAGTGTAAAGCGCTTTGGGGTCCTTAGGACCAAGTAAAATGCTATACAAATACAGACCATTTACCATAGAACTAATTAAATTTTCCTGGGAGCTCTGTGTTTGGAATTTGCAAATTGGCGAAGGTTTTAAAGAAAAATAAAATACATTTTATTTATATTTTGCTGTGTTTACATTAATATTAATATTTGAACATCAGTAAATACATCAGTTCATTTTTGAGGTATAGTTTTAATTCCCCCCCAAATTATTAATTTATTACAGTTCATCTGGCTACCTACAGAACTTAAGCCCCTTTTCTATTAGTACCTACTCGGATTGACTCTGCACGGTTCGAAACAGTTTTAAGGATTTTCCGTTAGGTCACAGTACCTGGTATCAGGTACTTTTTAGTACCTTCACAATCCGGGGTTCCAAGCGATTCAAGCAGGTACTAAAATGTGAGATTGGGTCAATGACGTCACTTGATGAGTCATGAGAGCGTCTCGTTCATGAAAATAAAAACTGTGGTCCTCCGAGTCTGACGAAAAGCCACAGACCGAGCAGCAGGTATATCTCTACGTCCAACTTTGTTGTAGCGTTTGTGTTGCATACATCACGGGACGCTCAGCAGGATTGCCATGATGACAACCACGCACATGAGGTAGTACTAGATTATAAGGGAAAACCAGCCGTGGCGAGTCGATCCAAGTAGGAGTAGATGCTAATGGAAATCGTCTCTAGAGGATAGAAACAAAGTATTGTGATAGTATTGATCCAGTACCTTTACCAGCGCTGGTATCGATCTTATAAATATTTGGATCAATCCGCCCATTTTTTTTTTTCTTATCGTGAAAGTGTAAAATCCCTGCTTAAAAAAAAACACCTGTAGACAAAGGTTTATTGATTAGACTGTGCACTCCTTTGGAGGCTTTCATCTTTGGTATTACTAGACAAAATTACATTAGGTCCCTAAAAAAAACATCTGCTTTCAAGATTTTGTCATTATAAGATCATTTAATGCACGATTTAATCAAATGTGATAGTTTAAATAGCATTTGCATCATTTTAAATGCATTTCTTTAAAGTTCAAAACACGTTTGCGACTTTTACGAGTTCAAGGATCAAGTGAAACCGAAGCTCTTTGTGTTTGGACAAAGCTTCTAATAAAGTTTCTCCAGCTGTAACTAAATAAACTAATGAATTTGGCGAACAAGCACTCAGGCAGGCAGTTTAGTGTAGCTTCTAGGTATAAAGCTGAAGGCAACATTATAAAAGAAGCAGCACAGTGTGACACTTCCTGTCACTGCCCCTGATGGGGCATTTACTCAGGAATCTAAATCTGCCAATCACATGATGAAGGCGTTGAGTCACCTTAAGCTTGAGTAGGTTGCTTAAAAGAAAAACAAACCTCCAACAACAACAGTCTGGGACATCACCTTTTTTCTTTCGAATGGAAAAACTAACAATAAACGGTCTTGCTTGTCCATAGAGGGTGTTTCACGAAAACAACTGGTCTCACACATCAGAAAACCTTAAAATAATAAAACCGACACCACCACATGATTGGTTGGTGTTAGACGTCAACGCGGCACAACACTGGTGTAATCATCAAAGGTCTGGCTCTAACCTGCCTAACCACTTTCATCACTACAGCCCACAGACACCTGCCAAATTAGTTTTTTTTTAATAAGCAGAAAGGAAATCAAAAAAGATGCAACCAAACTCTAGGTTGCATTTTCCCCTTATCTTTTTAGTTTTATCTGAAATGATAAGCGAGTGAATGTGTGGTGACATCAGATTAAACTTATAGCTATGCCTTAAAAGCACTTAAATAACAGAGGATCTTGTCACGCTGACATATTTGGTGCTTCCATCATTGCCCTGTTATAGAAGCGTTACACGGTTCACACAGTGGTTGGCTCCCCAGGCAGCTGAGCGGTTGCTAAAGCAGGAAAGCCACGTGTCTGTGAAAATGTATTTCCAGCGGGTGACTGAGTGTTAAAAGGAATGTGGGCGAGGTTGTAACCAACACGACCCGGCTGGCACCGTGCCCCACTGCCTATTCACGTGATCTCACCCCTATTTGCAGTTTGGTATCTGAGTGCAGCTGAGTGATCCCACCAGCAGAGTGTCATATGTACCTTTATAGTAAGCATTATGGAGAGGCTGGCGCTGCGTGCTCATATCTGGCTCTGATGGTGTACGGCACTTTCATTTATGCTCTGACGCTATTTATACTTTATAAGCAGCGAACTAACCGCAGGTATAACACTGAGGCATGCAGCCCGAATGACATTTCCCACAGTGACTTTGTTGCACTGCGGGAAATCCCATTCATCTGATGTTGAATAAACCAGGTCAGTCATTTGATAACAGTGGCGCTGGAAGGGAGTCACGTCTACAATAGGTCACAGGGAGAACTAGTTGGCTGAGATCCACCAAAAGTCAAATTCTGCGCTATGAATTCTCAGCAGGGGCAGCACGGTGGCGCAGTGGTTATCACTGCTGCCTCACAGCAACAAGGTCCTGAGTTTGACTCCACCATATGTGTGGAGTTTGCATGTTCTCCCTGTGTTTATGTGGGTTCCCTCCAGGAACTCCAGCTTCCTCCTACAGTACAAAGACATTTACCTCAGTCTTATACGTTGGGTTAGTTTGCTGCTTATAAAGTATAAATTGCCTAAGAGCATAAATGAAAGTGCCGTACAATTTGCAATTCTAAGTTGTGTTGTCTGTCTCTCTGTGTTAGCCCGATGGATGGATGGACTAGTCAGCGCTACAAGCTGCACATTAGCTGTCAAATCTAACCGATCTTTTAAAAAGGCGAACATTCATTCATTCACAAGCTTCCAGCCTCACCGTACAATGGAATTCCAATATGTTCTTCCAATATGCGCACTACAATTGATTTCTTTGTCGCCATGTCAGAGATAATTTCTTTACCTTGTGACTCTGCTTTTAAAGGATTTACAAAAGCTAGAATAGATCTCAGTCTAATAATTAAGAATCATTGCGTGCAGAGTCTTGTCACTCAGCAGACATCTGTCAGCGCAGCAACATTATATGTTCCTCTGCTGATTGTCTCTTTTGGGCGAGGACACCTCAAAGAGACATTATGCAACTCTCCCATAGTTTTCTGTTAAGGACTGTTTTAATAATGGTTTGGATTTATATAGCACTTTTCAAGGCACCTTACAATGCCACTATTCATTCACTCTCGCATTCACACACTGGTGGAGGCAGCTACAGTTTTAGCCACAGCTGCCCTGGGGCAGACTGACAGAAGCGAGGCTGCCATATCGCGCCATCGGCCCCTCTGGCCAACACCAGTAGGCGGTAGGGTGAAGTGTCTTGCCCAAGGACACAACGACCAGGACAGAGAGCCCGGGGATCGAACCGGCGACCTTCCGGTTACAGATACGCTTCCCAACCCCTGAGCCACGGTTTCATCCACCTAACCATCAAAACATTATCAGAAACGGTCTTAGTGGCAGGGTGGCTGTCAAGAACCTATTCTTAAGAACAGGGAGCTCAAAATCAGTGGCAACAGGTCTTATGGACTGATGAATCCAACTTTGAAAAATTGAAATTGTCGCCAGTATGGTTGGAGGTCATGAGAGGTACGACAGTGAGTGTCTACAGCTATCTGTATGCATGGTTTGGAGCTGCATTTAAGGCAGTGGTGTCAGAGAACTTGTCAGAATTAGTGGAATTAGAGAAAACTACCATCACATTTTGAGATCCCATGCAACAACACTGATCGCAAACACAGTGCCAATTCGGTAAAAGCATACATGGGTAGAAGAAGTGTGTTGGAGCACTGTGGGATCACCGTGACAGAGAACAGAGCAAAAAGAGCTTTGAATGTCCTTCAAGAAGCCGGGAGAAATATTTCTAAACACTATTTAAAGAAGTTACAAGAAAGTTCTCCTAAGAGAACAAAGGTGGTCTTACAAAATATCGACTTTTCAGTTCATCGGAACTGTACAAACTCTGCCTGATATCCTGTATTTGCAGATGCTTCAATAAATTGCGGCTCCAATTTCCCATTTTCCAAACAACATATCAAGAAATAAGAGGTGTCTCAAAACATTTGCACAGTACTGCATACCTACATAAAACAAAATACATAAAAAAATCATGTAAATTGCTTCTTCTTTGCTACCTTTAAAGATAGTAAACAACAAAACTGTATCACAGCCAACATCTGGTGACAAACAGCTTTAATTCTGAGGTGATTCTGGTCCAGTCAGAGTCTGAAGTTGTGTTTTAATCCCTAATCTTTCCATAATTACGGATTATGAATTTGCCTCTGTTTTGACTCATGTCTTCAGTTGTCTCAATAGGAACAGCTACTCATGTTTATCCACCTACACAGGCTGCTTGGATCTCGCCCATCTCACTGGAGGATATTCAGATTCTAACACACTTCACAAATTGGTTGTCAGTAATTTGGATTTATGTTGATTTATGTTGATTTTCTTATGTTGCGTACATACTTGGCTACACAGATAATTAAAATGAAAAATCACAGACAACTCGAAGGCAACTGAATTTTCTTCCCTCGCATTCACCTAAGTTCATCTGCTTCACACTACCCGAACGAAACGTCTGCTCCTTAAAACTCATCCCACTCCAGCTGCTTAATGTCTCTGTTGTAACTTGAACCGACAGGAATGTAAAAGAGTGCCGATGCCAGCGCGATCTGCGACCTATCCATCACCGACAACAAGCTCATTACCCAAAAACCTCTTGAGCGGAGCTGCGAAACAGGAGGGCACCGGGGGAGGTGAAAGGTCTGACCTGGACTTTCCTGGGTTTGCAGGACCACCCCGAGCACAGCGAGATCTCAAAGCCAGACGAGAGCACCCGTCTCCTGATTCGACGTGACGTATATAATATTTACGTTTCAGATGCATAAGCCTCCCCGGGTGCAGCAGGGGATCCTCGTCACTTAGCACCGTGTGATGCTGAGTTCAGGGCCAGGCAGTCCTCGAGAGCTCCAGCCTCATTAGCGATCTGTGTTTCCGAGATTCACCAACTGACGCTGACCGACAGCTGCTCCAGAGGAAAGCCAGCGGGCTGAGAGAGCGCTTCCTAAAAAGAAAAAAGAAGAAAAAAAATCACCCTTTCACAAACCAGAGGCTTCATCTCACACTGTGACGCTCTAATTTCAGTGGAAGTGTGCTACACTATCCTTTCTCTGCCAAACCAGAAATAAATTGGCTCAGACTTTTCAGCTGCTCTTTGTAATGAGTCAGCGTTGCTAATGTTTCCCTTCTCACAGAAAAAAAGAAAAGAAAAGGGGGACCACACATATGAAAAACTGTGGGCATTTCACTTAGCTCTTCCTGCCTCTCTTTGACTCTTATGAATGGGTACAAATGAGACCACAGGGAGGAATGAATGCGCCTTTTTCATATCTTTGAAATCAGCTCAATCAGATAGATACTAACAGCTGATGGAGGCAGTGTGTGTCATATCAAGCTGCTATGAAGTTCAAGGTGTAAGAAGAGAACCCCCAACACCCGCCTTCAGCATCTTTTTTTCTTTACACGAGGAGCCAGTGAAGTCACCACAGCTGCTGCCTCTCTGCCACAGAGGCCGAGTGAAAGGTCGTCCCTCCAGCTGAAGGTTGTAAATTCAAGACGTAAAACGGGAAAGACGCGCCACTAAACAGGTGCAGGAGCAGAATGAATGGTCACCCGGGTTTTTTTTCCCCCCCAATCTCAGAACGAGCAAGGACAAAGAGGGGGTGAAACGGGCGTGTTCAGACTCGAGCAGCGATAGTCCTTCATGAAACCTTGGATTGTCTCATTTTGGAGCAGTACTTTAAAAAAGAAAAAAAAATCATCATAATAAAACAAAACCAAACATCCCTATCTGACACATACAGGAAACATGAGGTGTTCGGTGAAACCTTAGCTGAGTGATTTAAACCAAAAGGAAAAACCGTGGTGAGATATGACACCAGAGCTACATCTAATGAAAGTGATCACTAGTGTATATGGTAGTGATCGCGGTTGTATATTCCAGTGTGGACTGGAGCACATGAATAATGCATGAATGCGTATTTTGTTGTCGGGTGGGATTTTCTATCATTAATCTGCCTGCTGATCCACATTTATTTCCACGTTACTCGACAGCTCAGCGTCGTTACTCAAAGTCGGCCGGCGCAGTCTGAGATATTAGTTTGAGCTGTCCTTTGAAAATAACTTTGCACTGATAGAGATTTGTGTGGATAAACTGTAGCGTCTCTCCTTAAGTTGACATCTCAAACCACATCTATCTTGTGTGAATATTAAGCACAAGGGTCTGCTGCGATCAGCCTGGATTCACTTTGATTAAAGTTTATTTTTTCTTCTTTTGCAGTTCATACGTTATTCAAAAGCCCCCAATTAGACGTTTGTGTCTCATGTACGATCACCAGTTTACAGCGTGTGTTTACTGCGATGCCCACCAACAGATCTGTCGTAACACCTCTACCTTAACTGCCTTCCATCTCCTCCCTTGACTGATTACCAGGTTGCGTTCAGGTGGAGTATTAGCTGAAGCAACACTAAAACATGGCGTGCAACTGCGGTTGTGACGTCACCGTTGGCGCGAAAACTAGCTGCTGCCCAGCTTCTCCCCACAGATGACACAGTCCGGTTGAGGTTGCTTGCACAATAATCTCTACTCACTATTTTCCGCTTTTCTTTAGGTGATGGGCCATCTTTCATGTGCCAAGCTGCAACTGCGAATACAGAAAAAAAAATGCATTCTCATCCAGGAGTGTCACACAGTGCCGCTGTGACGTGTCTCATCGTTACGAAAAAGCCGTCTAATGGCAGTGTTGACAGCTGAGACAGAACTACTGTTTTTTAGAGAATGGCAGAGTTTGTGAGGTGGGTGGAGAAGCCAGGAGACGTTTCACTTCTCCTTTTATCCACATGCCCATCTGTTCCTTCATGTGACTATTTTCTAAAACTCTTGCCATCTTTCAGTAATAATGTATAGTTGTCACAAAGCCCACAACACACTGGCGTAGGGGTTAATAAGCCGTGCGCACTCCATACAAATTCAGGTGTCTGAATTTTCCTTTAAAAGTTCAGGACTAGAACTCATAAACAGAAGGTTTATTCTTTATCACCTGATTCGGGTCTCCATCTCTTCTCTAATTGCCAAAAATACTTTAAGTCTGCATTTCTTTTGAAAGGATTAATGCTCGAGTCAAGGTGCCCCTTCTCCAGACCAGCAGAATACCTGCAAAAGCTGCTTTAACATGCATAAACTGAGATAGCAGCATACTAAAAATCAAATCTATTACTTCCGGTGAGTGCTTCACATGATGCTGGAATCAAATGAGGACCCTTTTATGCTTCAGGAAATGTTTTATTAACCTATTTTTATTGTGAAGGTTAACTGAACATACGTGGATAATGCAGCAAACATCCGAGAATCCTTAAAGCCAAACTACCAATTTGGGGTCACCTAGAGGACGCCAGGTCATAATCTAACTTGACAAACCACTGGCTTTGTCCACATTGTGCTTTGTTTTACTGACTTCCTCTGCTAATGAGTACATTTGCGTGAAATTGTTCTATGGCACAGTAGAAATAGTTGTAAGAGGGATATAATTCATATGGTCACGCTGATACTGTTCCCGGTGACATTCGTGGAATTTCTTCCTGTTTATTCTCCTTTCATCTCCACATCCAGTCATTAAGAAACATCCTACACAAATCCAATAAAGGAACAACCAGCCCTCACATTAGCATGCTGATGCAACAGTGCTTATTTCCTGCCTTAAGAATGACACCATTATCATCCTCAGATAACCAGCAATAAAATTAAGTTTGGGTCTTTCCACTGCTTTTAGGCCCCTAATTTCCCCTAATGTCCTAACGTAAGAGAAACATGAACTTAAAGAGTTCAAACTTTAGAAAACGTTTTCATGAAAACTCTCCTTCTCACCGTCAGCTCTGACATTTTCCATGATGTCAGTTCTTCTGATTGACTCAACCGTGAACCATGTGATGCTGTAGATAATGAAGCTGCACCGTGTCTGATTTTTCCCAACGTCATGAGGAATTTCATGTATTTTTGTGCCCAGAGGGCAAAAGCAGCAGCAGCAGCTTCAGGAAGACACGGGAATAAAGCGGAAGCAGTCAAGGCATGAATTTCATACCAATGTGACACATGACAAATGAACTTCACAAGAGATGAAAGATCTGATTACTCAGATTTTAATAACGAAGGATCGCTGCGGTAGCCAAAGGGGAGAAAAAAAAGCATCTAAAGAAGCCACATGTGTCCTGATGTGAAATTTATGAATTGATAAAGCAGTAAAAATGTTAAGTTTAGCTGCACAACTTCCTCTAATGTAGTTCCAGTGTTTTTTAAGGGTCATGACCTTCTGACCGCACCGTCCGATAAGTCAATCAGTGGACTGCGTGACAGACTTTAGATAAAATGTGGAACATGCAAACCAAAAGCACATAAGCAAACAAATGATTATTCTTCATTCATTAATTTTATCAGCCACACATATGTGCAACGTATGTCTGCATACAGATTTACAATTAAAAATTTCCCGATGGCAACGGTATCAAACCACCCATCTTCTAATGAAATGAATGAAAAAGCGTTTTTTTAAAAGAAGACAGTTTCGTTTTTTCTCTAAGTGTGTAAACGATCGAATAATTTTCAAAACATTTGTACATGTGAATTTCCCCAGAGTGCGAATAATAGAGTTTGCATCTATTGGGAGAAATTCACCTTTTCTTGGTTTCATTGTGTTAACCAGTAGGTTCAAACCTCCACCCAGGATTGGAGCCTCTGTTTGCCCCTCCTGACGTCTCCTCCTCACTGCCGTTTCTGCCAAATGAAAAGAAGCAGCTCGGCAGTCAGAGTGAATCTGATTCAGTGTGAGCAGCCTGCTGCCATCACTTTTGGTGCTGTGCGTTCACTAGTTTCACTGTACCTTGTGTGTCTTGTGATGCTACTTTGACTGTGTGCAGTTAACCGTGCACACATCTAATTGGTCTTGAGGCAATCGATTTACTAATTTGTCTACTAGTTTCAGGAGACTGGGGCCAGGGATATATTTTCCCACCGTTTGTGTTACCACCTGGCTCAAAAGACCCAACATAATGTGGATAGCTCAAATAAAACATGGGTTTTATTTGAAATGACTTTATAATCTCCACTCACAAATGTTTTTGGTTAGGTAAGACAGGTGAGTTGAAGACCGTTACAGCAATTAAAGAAAATGGCTGAGATTATAGCTATTTCTGGTTTATTCCTTTGTTTCGAGCATCATTTATTGGCCTTTAGTTCTCCTGTTTGCTGTAGGATGTAACAGTGGTGGTGTTGGAGAGAAATCTACTCAAACCATGCTTCTGCTTTTTTAAATTCTTGTTCATTTTAAGATGCTGCTTGACGTGCTCTGAAAATAATGTGAAATTTCAGGCACGATTTTTTCTTTTGGGTCCGTTGGAGGCGTGACCACATGCAGATTACTTTTCTCATTAATATACGAATGCATGTTTGTCTTACGTTTGCAGTGATGCGTCACAAATGCATAGATAACTACCCCAGCTGTCTTTCATCTTTCAGTTACGTCACACCCTCTATACTTGAAAGGTGTGGTCATGTTATCTCCACCTAAAAATGCTTCTACGTCACTTTTGAAATGCCGACCTTTGGTTGATTGTGAAATGATCACACTGCAAAACGTCCAGTCTTCAAAACTCCTTAAGAGTCAAAAACAACAGATGAGGCGGATTGATGCTAAATGTATCCCATTTGATACTTCTACATCATCAATTTTTCCTATTTTGATACCTGAAAAATCGCAAATAACCTAAAAAATTATATAGATTTTAAGCAATGAATAACAAAAACAACAGCTGGATGAAGAAAATATCCCAAATTAAAACTCAGGCAAATTAATATTTTATTTCTTTTTTTTTAAATTTGTTAGGTTCAATAGACACAAAAGAATTCATGACTCGGTCTTTAAACTGTTAAATTGGTGACATTTTGCTATTAAAACCATGATTTATTACGATATTAATGCTCAAAGTTGGTCAAAAAAATTTGTTAGATTGTGG